CCATGACGCTTGTTAAAGACTGTGGGGAAGGCTTTATTCAAGAGGGACCACTGCAATGGGGGTTTGCGGCAGGGAAGAGAGATTGGATTCACATGCAAGGCCAAGTGGGGATATTTTTGCCTGGGAGCAGGGTGGGGGAAGGGAAATCCTAGGAGAATATGGTGATTCTTGCTAAACGCACATAGAACATCCTTGCCACAGGCGGGCCAGGGGTCAGACATCCCCCGGGGTGTGGAGGGAGCTGAATTTGATCAGATATTCTGTGTGATCAGATACCAGGGGTGGCGGATTCTGGCTAAACTGAGTTAGCAGGATTCTTGCTAAAACTGCGTCCCCAAGGTTGGACACGAAGCCCACAGGTCGGGCCTGTTGAGAAGAGGGTCAGGGAGCCGGGCTGGAGTTTGTCTGCCAGAGGACCTGGTCGTTCTCTGCCCATGGCTGACTCTGCCGTCACTAGCCCGTCTGGTGCTCGGGGAGAAGGGACACTGGAGCCCCCACAGCAGCCTTTTGCCAGTTTTGAGCTCAAAACCGAGGCTCGCTGCTGCCCATGAGCCCTGCCTGGAGGCAGAGTCGTCTCGCTGCTTCTGCCCCCAGTGCCAGCAGACCCGGCCAGCAGCCTCGCCCCCGCTCTGCCCTAGGCCGGCCTTCCCCCTCGCCTCCCTCCTGCCGGCCGAGAGCTACCAGGACTTCGTGCACAGGTGCGCGGTGAGCATGGGCCAGATCGTCAGCGCCTGCCCGCAGGATGGTGAGTGCCCTGCTGTCCTCGGGCCCCAGCAACCCCTGGGGGTTGGGGTCTCACTGATGCGAACTGGGGTGTATCCCGTGAAACGGCGTTGTGTTTGGGATACGCTTTAAAATACTTCGCTAAATGTCCATCGACAGATGACGGTAAAGATGCGGTGTATGCGCACTACACACAATGGTCTATTTCTCAACCGTACAAAGAATGAGGCTTTGCCGTTTGCAGCAGCATGGGTAGACTTGGAGGGCACTGAGCTAAGTGAGATAAGTCAGGCAGAGAAAGACAGATGCTGTGTGGCATCACTTACATGTGGGATCTAAAACATACAGCAAACTAGTGACTATAGCACAGAAGCAGGCTCACAGACAGAGAGGACAAACCCGCGGTTACTGTGGGGAGAGGGAGGAGCAAGGGGCCGCATGGGGGGCAGTAAGAGGTTCAGACTAGCAGGTGTAAAACCAGCTCCAAGTATATACCGTGCGGCAGGGAGTCTGGCCAGCGGTTTATGATAACCCCCAGCGGAGGAGAACTACAAATTGCGAGTCACTACATTGTACACCTGTAACTTACACAGCATTACGCATCAACTGTACTTCAATAAAAATGTCTAAAAAAAAAATACTTCCTGGAAAAGGGGGCTGGGGCAGCAGACAGACGACACAGGGCGAGCAAGGCAGCAGCAGCTCTTGGGGCTCCACGCCGGGTGCACGGGGTGGACGGCGCATCGGCCCCCTGGGTCTGTGTGAAGGTGTCCAAGGTAAAACACGAAAAACGAGTCCTGTGAAACTGAAGTTAGCGAGTGTGCTCTGAACATCAGCGGTGCGTCGGGCGCCAGATGAAACATCGTGGGAAAATCTAAGTGAAGAAGACACGTGCTCTCCCCTCAGGGGGTTGAATATTTGGGGAGAAAGGGGCGCAAGCATCTGGAATATTAAATAACAGGAAGGCGAGCTCAGGCAGAGTCGGTGAGAGACCCCCGGCCCCCTCACCCCACCTGCGCTCTTCCCACCCCTCGTCCCGGGGGGCTCAGGGGACGGAGGGCCCCGAGAACCAGGACCTCAGGGAGAGCTGAACCCCTGGCCCCCTCCCATACACCGTGGGGTACCCGCTCGAGACCCCAAACCTGGGCGTGTCCAGCGCCCCACCCACCCCGGCCACGAGGAGGTCCCCATTGCCTGCTTTGCCTGATGGGCACCCTGGGGAGGGAGCTTTGGGAAACCACACCTTAGTGCCATTCGGTTAATCATCAGACTCACACACTGGGGGGCAGAATGAACTCAGAGCCTTTCCTGCGCGCTGGGGCCCCACCCTACTTCTTTCCGCCTATCCCATTTCCAGCCTCCGCCGTCCCAGGCTGAATTTCAGCGTCTGTGGACGATCCTCCCTTCCGAGCTCCTCCCTACAGTCGTGAGGTCTTCTGGACACACAGGTGGAAGCATGGCTTCGTCACCTCTGGTGTCTGCAGAACCCCGTCCACAGGCCGCTGGTTGCAGGGACGCAGACCCAGCCGTCTGTGGCTGTGGCACGTGGCCGGGCGCTCAGGGTGCAGCACCTGAGCGGTTGAGTGAGGAGGACTGTGAGGGAGAGGACAGCCCAGCAGGAGGAGGAGGGTGTGAGCAAGGCGAGAAGGAGAGGGCCGTGTGGCTCAGCAGACGGAGCAACAGAAGATCCAGCGGGGCTGGAGGGTGACAGCGAACGCCTGCCGACTGCCTGGCGCGGGCCCCTCACAGGCCTCATCTGCTAAGCCCTCGCCCTCGCCCTCCTGGGTGATCTGAAGCGTTTCTGCCACTTACGCCGCGAGACTCTGAAGCCCAGAGGCGCTGAGAGGCCGCGTGCGCAAGTCATCCCACTGGAGAGCACGGGCCGGGGGTCAGGCCTGCGTGTCCGGCTCCCAGAGCAGCCTCCTGGCAGCCGCATCATGACTCTGGGGCCAAAGACATGAGTGTGACATTGATGGGAAACAACACAGGAGACGCGGATGGGGGCTTCCGTCTGGGTGTCGACCGAGGGAGAACGTAACAGTCGCAGGAGAGGCAACGTGACCGGTTTGCCGCAGCCTTGGCTTTCAAAGGAAGCTCTGTGTTCTGATCTCCCCCTAAGGCAGCTCAGTGGGTCTGGCCTCGGGCGTCTGCCTGACTCACTCGGCTGGTCTAACCCCCAAAGCCCGGCCTTGTCCCAGCATTGGCCCCACGTCCTGTCACCCGAGGGAGGCCCGCCCCTCCCTGGACTCCTGGCTTTCTCTGAAGTCAGAGTCTTCCAAGGCCCGTTGTAACAACCAGCTGATAATTCTCAAGCTCACAGGACGAGGCCTGGACAGGAGGGCGGCCTGGAGCACAGCCGTGCCATCCCTCCAGCCCCCCGGCCCACGTGAGGACGTGACAGGCTCGGAAGAGCTCACGCACCGACGGGCTGACTGCACGGACTGCGCTCCAACCGGCCACGCCTACTTCTGCTTCCAGCCAGGTCTCTCAGGGCCTCGGCACCACCACGTGCTCCACCCAACGACGCTGGGGGCCCCGTCTAATAAGAGGCACGCTCTGCGCCTGCTCTGACCTTGAGATGTGCTCTGTCCCGCAGCGGGCGTCACCCTGATCGTGGGCCACGGCTCGGCGCTGGACTCCTGCACCCGCCCCCTCCTCCAGCTGCCGCCCCGGGACTGCGCGGACTTCGCCCAGCTGGTGAGAAAGGTACGCGCCCCTCTTTTCTCTTTGGGCAGCACAGCCGAGCAGCCTGAGGATTTGGGGTCGCCATGCCCCCTCCTCAAGATGGAGACAAGTGTCCTGACATCCCAGGCAGCAGGGACCCGCCTGTCCCCCGAGAACATGCAGGAGGCTGACGGGAGAGGTTGGCACCTTGATAGTAACTTTGGCCATTTGCTGCCAAGATGATATGAAAAACAATACCAAGGAATTTAGAAATCAGCTCCCGTGGTAACTCCTTGCCGCTCTGGGGGTTAAGTACATGGCCCGGCGAGGAGTCCGTGATTTGAATAGGGAGAGAAAGGACAGTTGCTTGGCTGGCTGGCTCTGGGGACTCGGGGCTGCTGGATGGAAAGGAGCCCCTCCCTCTCGCCGTTGGAGTCACCACAGAACACGAGGGCAGGCCGTAGCGGCCAGAGCACCCGGCACTGGGCCGGGGCCGTGGAAACACTTGCTGAAAAGGCAAGCGGGTGGCGGATGTGCAGAGAATACCGGGCCCTTTGGACCGACCTGCGGTGCGTCCCACCCAGCAAAGCAGGGTGGCTTTTACCCAGCTAGTGAGATGAGCCAAGGCGGGCAGACTCAGGACTCAGACCTCCTCCTGCCCCTGCCCCGAAAATCTCCTCAGGACTGGATCACCCTCTGCCTTTGCTTTTTCATCAAACTAATCAGTCAGCAGACCTGTGACCTTGAGGCTGGGAGTGCAGCGGTGCAGACAACCCCTGTGATGGAGGGTGGGTCCCTGACCTGGCCGTGGGACCACCGCCGGCCACAGGAGTGGGTAGCGAGGTGTCGCTGAGCCCCGCAGGGGTCTGGGGGCTGCAGAGGAGCCTGACCAGCACCGGCTCTGTGCTGTGCAAAGCGCCTGGTCTCAGCCGCTCCCTGCCCTGCTGGAGGAAGCACGTTCCTCCCTCCCCCGGGGTGCGTGAGAAACGAAGTGCTTCCGCGCTTGAAACGCCCAGGCAGCAGACCCGAGGATGCCCAGTCTTCTTCCTGTCCCCTCTGGACCTGCGTAGAAATGTGTGTTCCCCTCCAAAGTGTCTTCACGGTGGTGTTTCCTAGTCATGACCCAGATATCCCTGAGCCCTTCCGGTTCCTGGGCCACCAGTTGACCGTTGTCTAAATGCATGGCTCAGTCACCCCCGCCACACGGGGAGACACTGGGGAGACTGTCTGAGGGGTGCTCCTGGTCGGCCCCAGCACTAGCTGCTCCGTAAGTGTCCTCTTGCTCCCACAAATGACACCACATCTTCCGTTCCTGCACCACATCCTACAGCCCTCAGCTCTCCTGGGAGCCCCATCATCCACAGAGACAGCAGTGCTGCACGCACCAGCCACGGCCTGAGAGCTGCATGTTGACACTGCTCCAAAAACTCATTTGTCTTTGTGGCCAAATTCCCACGCGCTCACCTGACCCTTGGCACCCTCCCCCGTGAGATGCCAGCCTTGACCCTCCAAACTCCTGCCACTTTCCTTATGCTGACGGCTCAGTGTCCACCCCTGCCCAGCCCCAAATACGCGGGGCCTGCCTGTGCACGTCACAAACGCACATCTCCGCGGGCTCTGCCGGCGGGCCTCGGCGGGGCAGCGGAAGGTGGACACGCTCGGGCCCACCCCCACCACGCCCACCCCGGCCCCCAGGCCCTCAGAACAGAGGGAGAGAATGTCACTGAGTCAACACCAGCCCCCTTGGGTCCTCCCCGCAGGTTGCAGTGCTTGCAAATTTCATCTGACCAAGAAACTTCTAGACGTTTAAAAGAGAAGGGGGAAAAGGAGAGCAGAGCTCGTAAACAAACAAACAAAAAGCCTGAGGAAGAAGGTCTGCTCCAAACCATTCATTTAACAGACGAGGGAACCGAGGGCTAAAGTTGCACTTCGTGCTTTTATCTCGGGTTTGCAAATGCAATCCCTGTATCTTTCTGTGATGCTAAATTTGAGAATGGAAGCCACTCTTCAAGCAGTCAGTAGACAGATGGGGCTCTCAGCTTCCGCACTGCTGACATCTGGGCAGAATCCTGCTGTGCTGGGGACTGTCCTGTGTGTCTGGGGTGGTAGCAGCATTCCTGGCCTCTACTCCTTAGATGCAATAGCACACACACTGTGACGAAGGACAGTGTCTGCAGACACTTGCCACTGCCCGTGGGAGGGGCAGGGCAGCACCCCTGTGGAGGACTGTGTGTGAGACGCTGGCCCTGTGTTTAAGCAGCGGTGCCAGAGAGGGTACGTCACGCGAGCCTCCGGGGTGTAGCTGGTTTTAGAACGCGTCTACAGTCAATTGACCTGGTGTAAAATATTCATCAGTGATTGAACTGTGTTCCAGGTCCCTTCTCTGGGGATGTGCTTCTGTGAAGAAAATAAAGAGGAAGGCAAATGGGAGTTGGTGAACCCTCCAGTGAAGACGCTGACTCATGGTTCAAACTCAGGGTTTAACTGGAGGAGCTGGACCCAGGGCAGCTAAGAGCCACCTCTCTGTTCGCATAATGTCACAACGAAGAGGCTGAACTCTTCGCAGAGGCTGTAAGACACTGTCATTTGGAAGGGACCGTTAGTCTCCCCGAATGCGATTTGTAGAAGCACGGAGCGCACTTTCAGATGCAGAGGGACGGCCGCTTCCACAGTGGCGCCTGCCGTCTGCACGCCCGTCCTCCCACGAGCTTGGCTGTGGGGATGCCACCTTGGACCGCGTGCATCCGCCATGTGGCTTGGGGGCAGCTGAGGAGCCATGACTCAGGTTTCCAGGAATTAAAGACCCACCCCACACTCCCCATAAGGATGTCTCCACTTTATTTTTTACGTTCTTAATCATCAAATTCCCTATCATTTTTCCTTTTTCTGTTTCAATCACTCTCTGGCTACTTCCACACAGGCAGAAAGAGGCAGAAAATTGTCTCCCTTCTGTGAGTCCCTGGGCTCTGCCGAACCCACCCACACACCCAGGAAGACCTTCCTGCCTCAAGGTCCTTAACTTAATCCCATCTGCCAAGTCCCCTTTGCCCTGGGAAGTAGCACACTCACAGGTCAGAGGTGAGGGTGGGGACATCTTGGGGGCCACTCTTCAGTCTGCCGCACCCCCAGTCCTTCCAAGGCATGTCAGGGCTGCTCAGATAGAGGCCCGGGTGTTGGGGTCTGGGTTCCCGCTTCACTAGGTCTCAATTGTCTTCTCCTTTTCTCCCCTTCAGGCTAGAGGAGGAGGGATGGGCGCTTCACAAATGGAAGGAGTGGGTCCCGCCCCAACTAACAGGAAGGAGAGACCAGAGAAAGGACTCCCCCTTTCCCCCCGCCAGGGCAGTGAAGCCTCCAGAGATGGTGTGAATTCAGTGATGCCCTGAGTTTGATAAAGTTGGTCCAGGCAGTGGATGAGGGACCCCAGGGGTGTCCTCTCACCCCGGCCCTGCTCAAGAAAAAAAAAGCCCTCCAAGTGCTCGGGGGTTGGGGGGGCACCATCGTCCCTGGAGGTGCCCCCCCATCCCCCTGTTTTCTCTCCTGGACACCCTGGTGCCACATCAACCTTGCTAATTCTGATGATGAATAGAAACTTGAGGAATGGCGCAAACGAGGTCTAAATCGAGGTCTCTTCTTTGGGGGTGGTCCACGTGATGTCCAGATTCACCCTCTCAGAGGTGAGGCATCTGGGTCTCGTACCCCTGGGCGATGAAGGGGCAGACAGCCACCTCCTCCTTGCTGGGCTGCTGATGAGGATTTACAAGGCACAGCGAGGGGGGTTCGCATCTCAGAGCTCGAGGTGCAGGATGCAGGAAACACCGCTTTCTTTATATTCTGTGATTCTGGTTCTGACCAGCCCCCCTTCTGCTGCAGTGGCAGAAAAGCCCACTTCTGTCACTCTTAGCTTCCAGAATAAACCTCACTGTGGCTCTTTCGGAAGATAGGAGGTGGCCGGCCTTGGGCTGGGCTGCAAGGAAATCGAGGGGCCGAGCCGGCGCCTGACGGAGGAGCACGTGCCGCGGGGGTCAGGGGCCGCCGAGCCCTGACAAACACTCTGCTGTGTTTATCTGAGAAGACAGAGCAATCATACTCCTCCACGGAAGCAAGTCTGATTTTAGAACCAAATTTGAGCTGGTAAACTTTAGGGCTGACTTGTGTCCCTTGCAAAACTCCTAAGTCCTAACGCTGAGCACTTTAGAGAGTGACTTTTTTTGGAGAGAGGGCCTTTAAAGAGGTGACGAGAGTGAAACAAGGTCACTGGGAGTGGTGCTAATCCAAGATGGCTGTGGTCTTTACAAGAGGAGACGGAGACACATGCGCACACAGAGGGGTGGCCCCGTGGGACACGGGGAGAAGACGGCCACCTACACGCCATGGAGACAGGCCTTGTTCTGTCGTCTGCTGTCACTAACCACTGCTTCTTTCAAAGAGTGCAATAGTGACCGTGTGCCAGTTCACCACCAGCCTGGAGACCCAGGCAGGGGGTGGTAGCCAGTCGTCTCTGTGACAGTGATTCACCTGCAAACCTGCTCTGTTCATGTAGCCCAGGGTTTCCTGACCTCCACACTATCGACCCTGGTGGAGGGGGTTCTTTGCTGCAGAGACTGTCCTGTGCCCTGCAGGATGTTTAGCAGCGTCCCTCGTCTGGGCCCAGTAAGATACCAGTAGCACTCTTCCTCGTTGTGGTAACAAAAACTGTCTCCAGACGCTGCCAGTGTGCTCGGGGAGCAAAATCACCCCAGCTGAGGACCGCTGATGTGCTCCGTCCCCAGGATGCCGAGAGCCCTGTAAACCAGTGACGCTATGTCAAGGCCCTCGAGAATTCCGTGACATGCACGCGCGCGCCCGTGGGGCCCTGCTGGGTGTACGTGCTCCTGTGGAGGTGAATGTCAGAACAAATGGGTCCCTGTCTTGAGGTGAGCAGCTTGTGATGCGCTGAAGGGCAGGGTTCTGTGAGTCGGAGGACGAGGAAGTCCAGGTGTGCCCTGTGAACAGGTACGTGAGCCTGGGAGGGTGGGAGGGGGAGCAGAGCGGAGGGGTGGACATGCTCCATCGAGTGGGTCCTTCTATCCTGGTGGCCAGGTCCTGATGAACAAGCCCCACCTAGTTTCTGGTCTTTTAGTCCATTTGATGGAGTCATCCAACCAAAGTCCAGAACTTGCAAGTGTGCCATGGGCACCAAATGACTGTAGAGTCCTTGGACCCAGTGCTGGGTCCCAATACAGAGGAATCTTCTCTGCAGCTCCCCTGCCCACTCTCCCCACTCCCCACAGACCCCAAGGGCCAGCAGACAGTGGCTGCTCACACATTAATGGAATTGCAATTAGCAGTTTCCAGTAGGGAAGGAGACACTAATTTCTCAGCATCTATGAACATCAACAACAGCATTGCTTAGAGGAATTAAACTGGGTTCAGGAGACCTGGGCTTGAGCTCCGAGTCTGTCCTTAAGTCATGCTTATGCAGGAAAAATGGATGTGGGGCGTGAGAAGGGCCGTGTCCCAGGCTTCGTTTGAAGTATGGGCCCTTGGCTTCGCGCAGAAAAGAATTCAAGAGCCAGCCACAGTGAGTGAAGGTAGATTTATTTAGAGAGACACATTGAAAGGCAAGAAAAAGACCACAAGGTGTGGGGAGTTGAGTGCTCACATTAGAGTAAAAGTAGGTGCACACTCCATAGACAAGTGCGAGTCGTCTCCAAAATGGGAGAGAGGGAGGAGGCGCGGGCAGCAAGGCACTGTGTTGCCAGTTTTTTGGGGCTCAGTGTCTTCACATGCTAATAAGTGGAAGGACCAGTCTAAGTAGCCTGGGGAAGGGGCTGGGAGTCCCAGGAAGATGGCCATTTCCCACTCTAAGACCTTCCGTGGCTAGCTAGCGTTGGAGCTGTCATGGCGCCTGTGGGCATGTTACTTACCATTTTAATATATTACAATGAGTGCATAATGAAGCTCAAGTTCTTCTAGAAGTCAGATCTCCCACCACCTTGAGCCTCAAGGCCTCCTGGGGGCTGAACCCTCCACCGTTTTGATGTTAATTGCTGTAGCATTCCTGACCAGCTATGCCCTGCCCCCTTCTGGCCTCAGGTATGACCTCTTTGAGCCTCCGGCTCACTGCAGTAGGGTAGGTGGGCTGGTCACAGCGTCCCGCCTCTGCTCTGGAGGAAGGGTCGTCCTCTTAGCTGTGAGCGTAGAGGGGCTGATCTGAAGTGTCTGCAGTATTTGTCAGTTTCCATGGGGGAAATGCTCCCATCGTGGCCAATTTTGAGCCACCAGCATTTCAACAGTTGATTTAAAAAATGCCTGAGAATTTTAAAATCTGCTCTCCCAAGCCGCTCTTGGGAGAGGGTCAGCTTTGGTGAGAAGACGCTTCGGTTGCCCTGTGGGCACCAGCCCAGCCACATGGTTCAGGCTGGTGCCCACTTCCTGCTGAGAAAGGCAACAGTCTCATCCACAAAAAGGGGAAGGACAGAAAGGGGCCAGGTCAGGAGGAAAGACAGAAGAAGAGCCGGGCCAGTGCTGTGTGCTGAGCACTGGGCAGACAGTGGGCTCCCAGCACCCCCCGGGGTTGTGTCTCTTCTGGGCTCCCCATCCAGCCGGTGACTTGGTTGCGGGACTGTGCCGGGAGGGAGCCCCACCCCTCCCTCTACCCAGCCTCCCTGTTCAACTAACTACTGCCTGCTTCCACCCCCACCCCCGACCCCCGACCCCGCTGACTCAGCCACACTAGGGGACCACAGGCGCTGTGGGCTGGGAGTGTGGATGAGCTGGGCCAAGCCTGCTCCGGGGCCAAGCGCTCACCCCAGGCTCCCACCCCATGATGGTCCCTGCCACCACTACCCAGCGAGGGCGGAGAGAAGAGCCGCGGCCCCGCCCGGCTGGGACCTCTTCTGTTGTTTTGGCATCTGTAGGATTCTTGATTGTCTGTCCCACCTGGCACGTGTAGAGCATAGAGCAGGACCTGGAGTTGGCTGTTTGCAGCCGTGATTGGGGTGGGTGACGCATCTGCCCAAAAGTCACTTCAGAGCAGGTGACGTAGCCCAGGCTGGCCCTTAGGTCCTGGCAGTGCAGCGTAGCTGCAGGGAGCACACGTTTAAAGTCAGAAAACTCCAAGTCGAGCCCAGGCCCGACACTAACCTACTCTGTGACGTGTGTCTGCCGAGATAGATGCACAGTGCTATTCCGTGAACGTTTCTGAGGACTTGAACCCCTTGAGCTGGGATGACAGCCTCTCAGATGGCTCTGAGGGGTGGCTCCGAAGAAGGAGGGGAGGAGCCAGGATATATAGGAGCTTTTATAACAAAAGCCAGGTAGTCAGAACATCGAAAGATTGTCGTTAATTAAAGAAAACCAGACATCTCAAGTTAAAGAATTTAGCGCTTTTCTATGTGTGGGAAGGTGCAAAATTCTGGGCTCACTGAAAACATTCCTCTATATGCACCTGGCTGTCTAGGGCCAGGGTCCTGTTCTTTCCCATCCTGCGTCCCCTCAGGGGGCACAGCTGAGAGTGGCTGCAGAGGCCGGGCTGCCTGCTTGTCTGCGTCCCGGGTTCCCTCCGCTCACTGTCGGGGTGGTTGATGACTTTACGGCTGCAGCATCCTTTGTTTACTGATATGGCTGCAGTATTTTGCATTCGCACCTGGAGTAAGTTGTTTAATTCTCTAAACCTCTATTTTCTCACCTATAAAATATGAACATGCATTAGTAGCATCTTCACAGGACTGTTGTAGGGAAAGGGTAAGCAAGGCTGTTAACAGAAAGTTTCGGCATAACGCCTCCAACACAGCGATCTCAGTTTGGGTTGAGAGCTCTGTTATTCGGATTACCAAGAAAGCCAGTCGCACTATTACCTAGATGCTCTCCTCTGCCTGGCCCTGGAGAGCGCAGAGGTGGGGTGTTCCGTGGCTCTGCGTGGGGCTTTGTGAAAGCCAAGACAGCAGGAAATGGCACTTAGAAACCTGACTTAGATCTGTGTTTTGTATGCACTTGGATGTAGAAGAATTATATACAAAAAAAAGGAAAATAGTAATTTGCTGTAATCAGAAAGCCAGAGCACTTTAGAAGGGAAAAGCAAGTCAAAGAATGGCTCCTGAAAAGACCCGGATGCCCAATAATAGTAGCTTCACAGAATGCTGCTTATTTTCCTGAATCGCTTTCTATTCTTTCCATTTTTGCCTGTAATAAGAAGAGCAAGTGATACCATCTCGGTGTTAGAGCGGGAGTAAG